TGATTTTCCTGATTGCAGTATACTGGATAATGCGACAAACAGCGGGCAATGAGGAAACAGACATAAAATGGATTCACACAAAAAACTTGGAGGATCTGGACTTCGCCGATGATATATGTCTGATTTCCCACAAACTGGAAGATATGCAAGCGAAAAGCAACAAGTTGTCAGAAGAAGCATCCAGGGAAGATAGGACGGATTTCAGGTGAGCATAGAGAAAACAGAGGTGATGAAGATTCCTGGCCAACACCACCAACAGCAACAACAACAACAGACAACAATCAGCATAAATGGGAGAAATCTGGAAGAAACAACCTCTTTTACCTAGCTGCCTAGGAAGCATCGTTTCAAACTACAGGCGGAACTGACGAAGATATCAAAGCAAGAATCGGAAAAGCAAGACAAGCTTTCACTACTCTCAAGCCTGTGTGGAGGTCAACAGCACTCAGCATCAAAAATAAGATCCGGATATTCAACTCCAATGTGAAGTCAGTCAGTGCTACTATACGGATCAGAGACTTGGCCAGCGCGTCGTAAAGAGCATCTCAAACAAACTACAGACCTTCATCAACAGTTGTCTTCGCTCAATACAACTCAAGATCAGATGGCCGGTTAGAAAAGAACAGCAACAGGGATCTCTGGCAATGAGCGAACCAACCAGGAACCGATTGTGAAACAATTAGGCAGGAAGAAATGGAGATGGATTGGATTGGCCATACTCTGAGGAAACAAGCCATCAAGTGACATCACTAGACAAGCCATTGCTCGAGTGGAACCCGGCCGAAAGGGAAGCGGCGAGTTGGTCGTCAGTGCAAGGATGATTTGGAGGAGGTCATGTGAAGAGGAGATGAAAACGTGTGAGCAGACTCGGAGCCAGGTGAAGACTCTAGCAGAGGACCGAACGCAATGGAGACGCACGGCTTAAGCCCTATGTTCCACTAGGAATTAAAGGATACAATAATGATAATACAAGGAAGTATTGTCAGCTATACACTAGAACACAGAGATCGGTTTGCTGTGTTCAGGTGACGACCAGTTTGTTTTGGTAGTAAGACCACTCATCAAGCCAAACCAAAACTGAAACCTCAAAACGACTGGTACCTCACAAAGTTACAAGCCATGATCATAATCATCCATGCTACCACTGATCTTTCAAAGCTACAAATGATTCTTCACAGAAGTATATGTGCTTTACTTATGGGTATCAATAAGTTGTTCAGAGGATATCAAGCTTCATTAAAAAGAGAATACAGCCAGTGCAGGGGATGAGATAAGAAAAATGGCACTGTAAACATCTTTTTAGCTATTGTATTCATTTCGTAATCAATGAGTTCAGTCAACGCTCTTAAACAGGCATATTGGTCACCACTTGGCAATTGATTCACAGGCCAATTTAAATATTTGATAAAAGTATTACAGGGATGCGTTTTTTCAGATCTAACTAACGTTTATAGACAGATTTTCAAGATGAAAAACTATACTCGTAAATGCACAGAAAGTGAACTGAATTACCAGTGTAGAACTGTTCAAAGTAATGCTCCAGTTCATGCTGTTATACTGCGAAAAATCCAACACATAAATTCAATGAAAACGTACGGGACAGAGAATAATTAGATGAAGATAAGTGGTGCCTCTGTAAGTCAGCGGTCCAGCGGTCGAATGCTCACCAACCACGCATGTGGCCAAAAGTTCTATTCTCAGGCTGCTCACTCTTATACCTCGCCCAGTTTACTGATCAATAGTAAGCCCAGTGAAGAGGGAATATTAAGAACGTAAGGCTAGAAACCTCGCTACGTAAACGCAACACCGCAGCCACTGAAACTTCAAGGTTTCAAGCCTGAAACCCTATATTCCACTCAGATTGCAAAGGAATGGGAAAAAAGGCTTTTAGAAATTGTGAAGGTCACAAGATGTGAAATATTTTGAGTCATACCACCAATAATCTTCGACTATTGGTTTTTTAACATTCCGTGAAGTTCACATAGACAGTCTCCCCTTCCCAGGATGGCTTGAACGAAAAGTCAAAAACTGCACGGATTTTTGCCACGTTTCGTCTGGCTACACATACATGCAGACAACTACGGTTTTACAGTACTGTGCTAATAAACGCAAAGTAGGATTAAAAATAATATTAAGATAGAGAGGGCTAGGGGTATCTAAGATATGTATAAGACATTATGACACCTAATTTTTCGACTTTACTAGACTTTAGACATAATGATCTCGATATATTTGCATGGCTTTGATCACGAGTTGACATCATCTAGAGAGCCATCAGAACATGTAAGAGTACTGGGTACTGTTTCGTCTTAGTTTGGGACTCCTCAGTATTACGCATACACCAGGGTTCGAACCCCAAACAAGGTGAGCTCGTAAACCATTAGGCCACTGAGACCTAATCCAATGGCTTGTGAATTCCAAATTCTGCAAATTTGTGATGAATGTATAGCGCAACTGACCTGTTAACTGAGTTGGTGGACCCCACATATGCATGGACCAACAGGAGTTTGGACACACCGTTAGCGGACTGGAGATTACATTTTTGTTACTCCCAACTACCGAAATTTATGTATCCTTAACATTTTAAAATTAGTAAAGTGAATGAAAAAGGATTTGGAAATCAAATAAAAAGGTGAACTCAAAGTCATATACAAAGATTCTTCATTCCAAGAACGATAGTATAGGGCATAAATGAAGGTGTTCTACAGTCAAAGTATGATTTAACAATGCCTGAAGAATAAACTATTGGGAATATCCACCTCTGTGTGCATCTACTCTTTCACATGCTCCTGTGGAACTGATTACATTGGACATTGTAGGCATGTTATTCAGAAACGTGTAGCTGGACACTAACAGCTTAGAATAAAGAAAGAACGAACATATTTGCAGGATAATACGAGCTCGTTTCATCTCGTGGGTTCTCTTCAACTGCGTACATCCTAAATAAATCAATTATATGGTACAAAAATTCTGGACAAACTTTTTTAAAATGATTTCAAGTTACAGATAAAAAGAATAAGCCACGCAATTTCCAAGATGATGTAAGTGGACAATTGTTTAGTGTTAAAAGGGTAAGCTTTTATATAGCAATTAGACAAAGGGGTGGAATTAAGATTTCTCTTGGAGACAAGGATGAACTAGAGACAAAATACAAGGTAGAACAACAGAGTCAATCTACACATATTAGGAGGGTGGGAGTGAATAGTGAAGTAAAATTATAAAATAGATAAAATAATTTAATTCAGTAGATTTGGAACCTTAATAGTGAGTTCAACTCAGTCAGCAAGTAAAAATCAAAATCAAGACTGGGTGGAATGTTATGCAACAGAACAAGCAACACAAAAGCACACGAACAAAACAGTTATGGTGACCAGGTTAGTAAGCGATTAGTCACACTATCTTTCTGTATAAGAGGTTGGTTCGAAGTCTTTTGATAGCAATGACTTCTGCGAACGGAAGTGACCATACTTTTATTTAATGTATTGATTATTTTGAAAGCCTGACTAACTCCCGCTGTATGTTCAGTGTCAATTAGGTTTAGTTGATTAAAAAGGAGAGAAAAAGGATGACGAAGTCTGCCAACTGTGAACACCTGTCGTTCAGCAGCATGCGACTTATCCTTTAAAGTTATTTACAGGGCTAGATTCAGTTACTTTAAACGTTTAACGTGTTTTCCATCTTCGTATAGCCAAAACTCTAGATATACATATGGATTTAAGCCTTAATTATGTATTCAGAAAAAGTTTTTTTTTAAACCATGTTTTCCTCGATCTATCTTAACGCTTGAATTCATTTCACTTCACTTCATCTTCGCCTTCTTTATTATTCCTATCATCAACGCACTTTTAGAATTTTTGAATGCACTTGACTGACTTTTTACAATCTTAATACCTATTCAACTTTGTATTTTTATCTTTTAAACATTCTTGTAATTCATTCACTGTTAACTCTACCATACATAAAAATCATGTTGAATATTTTTATTCTTATCAACTTATGTGCATAGTGACTGAGCAATTTTTAGTATGATATAAGTATGACTGTACAGTTTGAAGATAACCGACCAACAGCAACAGCAACAACAACAACCAGCACCAATCACCATCAACGAGAGAGATTTAACAGAGGTCACTTATTTCACTTATCTGGCTAGGAAGCATGGTTTCAACCATAGGCGAGCAGGACAGATGGAGATGTTAAAGCCAGCCAGCCAGCCAAAATCGGAAAGGCAAGATACGCCTTCATCAACCTGAAATCAGCCATAAAGAACTAGCAAGAAGAAACTGTGGGAACAAACGAACCAAGAGCCGATCGCTCAACAAATATGTAAGGGGAAATGGAGATGAAGTGGGAATACTTTGAGAAAACCATCGAATGACATCGCGTGCCAGACATAACCTCAAGTGGAATCCGAATGGGAAGCGACGAGTGGGTTGTCAGTGCGAGGGTGACGTGGAGCAGGTCGTGTGAGGAGAAGATCAGAGATTATGGACAATCGTGGACCCAGCTGAAGAGGACGGTAGAAAATAGAAGGAAGTAGAGATGTGTTGTTGAAGCCCTATGTTCCACTTGGAGCCTAAGGGAATAATAATAATAAAACAGTTTGAAGATGAAGTCGTTGAACAAAAATACATTTCTTCGCTGAACGAAACTGTGTTTTTCTCTTATGAAAATGGGTAGAGATAGAATCATCAATTGAAGATTGTCAGAGATGATTTAGAACGATGTCACTAAAAGAAAAGCTATACAATGTGAGTAGCTACAAAGGAATTGATTATTCACGAGTATTTGCTAGCCAAATTGTGGTTATTTCTAAAACCTGAAGAACGATCCTTCATAGTCGACGTCCAGTTAATCCGCGATAGAGTACAGTGCATTCATATTCACGAAAAACGAAAATAAACGCTTCCACAAAACTCAAGATATACGTTATTAAAATATATTTCAGGATAAGTCATGAATTAATCTTTTGATAATGAAAATAAACAAAATATACATACCTCTAAACCGACAAGTGATTCACGATGTTGTACATAACCCCATGGTGCTATACCGAGTGCAACAATATTAGAACCACGTATGTGTACTTCATCTTTCAATGCCTCACCAATATGTCGAGTTACACCTGTGGTAAATAGGAAACAAAATGGAAACGGATAATATACAATATAAAACGTTATCCGTTGAGTTCACAACAATATAGCAGGCTAATTATCAATGAAATAACTTTTGAAAGCAGGAGAACTGCATAATATAGACAGTAAACAGAGGTGTGAGACAAAGGTATAGTAATGACGAAGAACAAAACAGTTCCATTGGAAATCATAAGTCACAAGGAGTTGATGCATCTGCGCCAGCCATTGAGAACGATTTTGAACCATATCACCGATTGTGTCCAACCATTGGTTTTAACTGTCCTGAGGACCCCAACCAGGAAGTTTACACCTTCCTACGTGGTTTAAACTAGCTGTTGTAGATTTCATTGACTGGTGCCAAGTTTTGGTTTGATCGCCGCTAGCTCTTTTCCAGCCTGACCCTATGTTAGCTAACATTGCCCGTCGAGGAAGGCGATGACTAGGCATACGTAACACATGTCCTAACCATCTCATTCGATGTAATTTCACAGCCCCGTCGACTGATTTCCCCTCCTTACATAACACTCGACGCCTAACCTCAATATTGTTCACACTATTATACCACTTCACACGGGAGATGGAACGCAGGCACCTATGAACAAAGACAGCTAGTCTTTTCATGTCTTCCACTTTCAATGGCCAGGTCTCATAGCCATAAAGGACTCCTTTACTCTCCAGGTGGAACGTAGGACTTTCAGATTTTGAAGCTTCAGTTGTGATGGTGTTGTTTTTCACACAGTGGATTTGCTAGACCCACATTCAACATCACCTATTTTCCGGGCTTATTGTCAGCTATTAAATTAGTTAGTTGAAGTCAATGACTATATCAGTCTGAAACCAAAACTTGACTTCTTATGTAGCTAGACAGCTTCCTGTCAGTGAATCACTGATGTAAAGCGAATGCTCTGGAAGATCTATTTATCATACCATCGGAAATAAGAAATATTGTTGAATGCTGAATGGCTTGTGTACAACTATCAGAAAGAAAAAAAACAGATTTCAGAGAAACAACTACAATTGGAAGAACTCATAGATTGCTTATGATAAAAACTTCATCTTGAAAAGAATATTAAACTCTTTCTCTTGCATCTATCATTTGCATTTGTTCTCATCATATTCATGTTCTTGCCTTTTATATTTTTTACTGGTCTTCTGTGTTCTGCTTGACAGAATCTTCAGTAGTCGATCATGCAACTAACGCTAGCATCTGACTGCATAACTTAGGAAATACATATTTGTATCACTGGGAGACATCATGTTATCACGCATATAATACTTACAGTCAATAGCCTCAGAAATACGTACCTTTTTTGTTACTTAAGAAATGAATTGTTCAAGCCATGTTTCCATGAAAGTAAGACTTATCAGATAATTTACTTCTAATTAACTTAAAATATTCCGTAATAACAACGATGGTAGGAGATGGATTAATGCATTGTATCAACAGCTAAATATATACAAATGATACCAGATACAATCAACCTGATACTTATTTCTTTGGTGTAAAAGTGCACTACAACTTGTGATCAAAAAATCACAAACAAAGATGGTTCACTTCACATCCTCAGCAGACACACGTTGATGTCGCGCGCCAGACCCTCCAGTTCAACCTAAATGCAGAACTACAAGCTGGGCGCTGGTCCGGCGGTAACATGAAGGAGATCGTGTGGGGAGTAGATCCAAGCTCGCTGTCAATCGTGAAGTCAACTGAAGACTACTGCAGAAAACGGGATGAAATAAAGACGTGTGGTGTTGAATCCTAATGTTTCACTCGGAACCCAAAGAAATAATACTAATATGATAATTTCAAGTGTAAAGGTGTTATGTATGAATATTATGACCTTGTAGACTACGAGCGAATCTAACTTAATGCGCTGGCCAATCTGTCCTAATCGCACGTCAACAACAGCAACAGCAACAATGCCGCCGGGCACGCAAGACAAAGAAAGAAGACTGGATGTTGATACGAGAGCTTTTACTGTCTCTACAACAGTCGAAAATGTTAAACAAAACTCCGTATTTATACAGTTAGCAAAATCAATGCCACATTTAAAAAATAGTAATTCAGTAAATTCAGTCATGCAGGTGTGAAAAATGACTAATCATGCAGGTGCGAAAAATCAATATTGATGAGTCACCAGTGTATATATCAAAAGGAAAAGGCGTTCAGCGAAGAGTTACTCTCTTCAGCGATATCATTCTCAAGCTTTACAGTTGCATATATATAGAGAGAGTAAATTTTCTTAGCAAGGAAAGTAATATTTCAAAGATTTATCATTGGAATTGTAAATTTTAGATAATAAATTTCTTTATTTGGTTAGAAACTAAAGGAAGATTAAATAAGCAAGTTGAATGACGTAATCTGATTGACGCTATCAACATTAGATAATTTTTTTATCTAAAATTTACAATTCTAATGACAAATCCTTGAAATATTTATTTTGTTGCTAAAAAAATTTACTCTCTAAATGTATATGCGATTGTACAGCTTGAGAATGATATCGCCGAAAAGAGTAACTCTTTGGTGAACGCCTTTTCTTTTTTATATGACTCAATAGGAATTTTTAAATTTTAAATGTGTAAATCATCACTGGAAAGTTCTTGCCATCCGACGTCTTACAGGCTACATGCTAAATAATGCACATTTCTATATATTTAAGACATGACAATTGAATGCATCACATTTCTAGCATTTCACTTGAGACAGAAACTCGGTGACCTCTCTTAGAAAACTGTCATTCACTAGGTTAATGAAATATGAAGGCTCTTTGATGTAAGAATAGAACTTGGGCACTCTGGTGGAGGAGATAATTCTGATTGGACACTAGTAAATAGTGTGACGTATCTAGTCTTTCCTTTGGTGCCTGAATAGCTCAGTGGTAACGTCTCTGACTGACTGCAGCACTGGGTGACGCGGTTTCGAATCTCAGAATGGACATGAGTTCCTTCAAGGTTGCAGATACGCCTTGCTGATAAGTGCCAACTAACACGAAACCTAGGTAGAGAAAGGCTTCCTGCCGGTCGCCTCCAACTATCTAATATCATCAAGAGTATAATTTTGTCATAGAATAAGTTTATTTGATGGAAACACACAGTGGTACAGTATTATTTACTGGTTAAAATATAATTCCGTAAAGCTATATTCTCTTATTCAAGCCAATTTATTCAAGAATGGAATAATGGCTCTTTCCTCCTCATTTAGACGAATGACTTCTCATGTAATAACATAGATGAATCATTTCAGTCTCGTTATATCAGCAGAAGGGAACTGTTAGTACAAGTAAAAATAATTCTAGATGATGTGTAATATTTGTTTCTGTCTTAGTCAAGGATGAATTTTCTCGTAATGGGGAATATTGTTATGAGTTAAATAAGGCTTCATGGAAAATACCCATCAAGACATTAGAGGAAAAAGAACAAGAAGTTCAGAGAAAATATCTTTTCGGCGATTTCATTCTCAAAAGCTGTACAATCGCATTTATATACATTAGTTTACATGGATTCCACATAGCAACGAAGGAGATAATACTTTTCAACTTGATACGAAAGTTAGAAGGTACGAATATAGATTACAAGTTACGCAGAGATAGAACTTTTGTTTCTAAGCCTCCTGCAATTCATATCAACTTGAAAATAATTATCACCTTTTATTCGCCTTTAAAATTATTTCTCCAGTTATCAAATATTAGATTTTGCATACGTTGTAACTATTTTCTAATCTTATGTAATCTTGTCTCTAAGCCTCTTTTAATCTGTATACGTACCTTCAAACTTTCATATCAAGTTGAAAAGTATTCTCTCCTTCGTTACTATGTGGAATCCATGTAAACTAATGTATATAAATGCGATTGTACAGCTTTTGAGAATGAAATCGCCGAATAGATATTTTCGCTGAACTTCTTGTTCTTTTCCCTTTAAATAAGACTTGATTCACTGACTTAGGTAATCATCTTTTAGACTTAAACCTGGCCACTTAGCTAATATCATCAGTCTTCACACAACAGAGTTCTCACATCGTTGCTCTCGGAAGTATGTCGATAAATCTTTTAATCTGATTTTTTCTTTTCTATTCGTTCGAGTTCTGATTGGAACATAAGGCTACCAACTTCAGTTGTGAAGTTTTAATAGGAGGGTTTTGTTTAAGGAGTATGGTTACTAGTCTCATACTCAACCCTCCCTCTTTACCAGGCTTACTATTGGCTAAATGTGGTTTAGACGCAAGCCCCCAATGCCTGCCTGGAATCAAACCTGAACTGCTTGCTTAGCTAGTGATCATTCTTCCATTGAATCACCGACGCAAAATATAGTTACTAAGAGAAATGAACTTCTTTAGGTGCTAGATTTCGCGATGCGATCAGCAGTATGTCTGAAGTAGTATATATGACACAAGTTCAAATACTTGAAGGAATAGTTCCATGCAAGTTAATTGTCAATATTCACCAAAAGCAAGTTCAAAGAGTTGATTCTCTGCTACGGTCTAATAGAATTATGAGTACTGTTGATTTGGACAAACATTGTTGAGACACAATTATTCCCAAATCTTACTTCGGCAAGAAGAATTTAGAGCAGTGATACAGTGAGACCGAGTATATTACAAACAACCTTTGGAAAAAACAGTACATACTACTGATTTATATGAGTAGTAAGCACTACTGGTTAACACAGTAGTATATTCTATTATGCTACTTTGCTAGCATTCCTGATTACTATTCATTGTATTATGTAGGTGGAATATTTTAGGATGCTCACAGAAAGCCTTGATGCATATTCACCTCAAACTATATGTACAATATACATAATTTTAAATAACGTGTCGTATTCCAGGGTAAATGAGGCATTCATCAACTCTATCACATAGTCGCTTTCATCATTTCATGCCATTCAGTAATCAATAATATCAAGTGAAATGCCATACATATATATATATATATTCTTCTAAACTTGATGACAAGTAGCAGTAATAATAATAATAATAATAATAATGATAACAGTAATAATAAACAGAATGTCTTAATGCTAGACTAGACTAAAAGACAAAAGTTTTTTTAGGTATGCAAAGAGGTCAAACCATCAATATTGATTATCGACTTTGAAATTTCATCTGGTTTACAGTTTTGGCTGTAAATATTATTTTAGTTACGAAGTGACTTTACTCACTTGGTGGTAATATTACTAACTGGTTAGTTGGTAAGTGTGCAGAGTTCTTCTCCACCCTAGAAATCAGATTTAGGAACTTCAGCTAACCAGCTGGGTAGGTTACTCATTTACCTACCTGATTAGTGCCTAATGACTAAATTTAGTAGGATTGTGGATGGTATTGCTAACATGTAACAATGAAAGTTAAGAAAAACTGTACAGGAATTGAGAAACATTTGTCCTTTCAGACTACGGGTTTTTTATAGAGATTTTAATTAATTGCATTATGAGTTTCGTCATGAACCAACATCAATTAGAGAATCACTGAAAACCAGACAGTATCGGACAATTGTTTCGTCCTGGTTTAGGATTCTCTAGTGAGGCGCATCTGTGATCCCACCGAGGATTAGAAGTAGGACCTTCAGGTTAAGAAGCCCATCTTTTGACTACTAATCAACTGGGTCAAAATCCATCCTTCCACGAATTCAGACTGTAGGTTGGACCACGAGCTGACGTCATTTAGAGAACCATTGGAAACCAGAGAGTATTGGACAAGTATTTCCTTTTAGTTTAAGACTTCTCAGTAGTATACATCCATCAAGGCTAATAAATATAGTATAAATCCTTAACTATCCATGAAAATAACTGTTTTTTTAACCACTTAATCGAAGCAAATTATTCAATCAGTGCCTAATCATCACGCCCCTTGAGTGCAGCATACACTGAAGGGAATGTGATGTAAACAGTTAACTGTACAGAAATTAACACAGCTGCCTCGATTTGTTTAGGGACTTTAAACTATATTTTAGCTATCGTTGGTGACATCATGATGTCAGACTATAGGCCTTCATTAACAACTGCCTTCGCTCAATACTCAAGATCAGGTGGCCAGCCAGAAAAGATCAGCAACAGAGATCTCTAGCAATGAGCGAACCAACCAGGAACCGATTGTGAAACAAACACGCAGGAAGAAATGGAGATGGATTGGTGGCCATACTCTGAGGAAACCATCAAGTGACATCACTAGACAAGCCATTGCTCGAGTGGAACCCGAAAGGGAATCGGTGAGTTGGTCATCAGTGCAAGGGTGACTTGGAGGAGGTCATGTGAAGAGGAGATGAAAGCATGTGGGCAGACTCGGAGCCAAGTGAAAACGTTGGCAGAGAACCGAACGCAGTGGAGACGCACGGCTGAAGCCCTATGTTCCTCTAGGAATTAAAGGAAATAATAATATAATAATAGTAAGCTATTGTTTGCAATACACCTACTTGGTCATTCGGTCAGTTTAAAATCATGCGATATTGAAAGTGTATTCAGTATACACTGACTGACAGTTTATATAGTTTGGTGACTTTCAAAATCATGCTGGCAATTGCATATGACATGATTATAAAGTCTAATTATCTTTTTCTTTCATTTCTGGTGTTACGAGTGGAATATATGACTTCAAGTTTCCGAAGTTTCAGCAGTGATGGTGTACCATTTTAAGCGGCGGGGTTGCTAGACTGATGTTCAGGTTTACTGTCAGAGTCGTCCAGGAACAGAACGCGGGCTTTCCTCATGACTGGCGAGAATTCCATCATTGAACTGCCGACCAGAGGTCTGCTCAGTATGTTAATATTGTGCAGTAGGTAATTTCATCAAATGTATTTTAAGTGATTTGACCAACTGTGGCTTTCTGATAGGGTAAGACGTTCTTACCTAAGTCCCCATTGGACATATCACGGCTGATTACGATATCCTTTCGAAAATATTTCCAGTCTAAACTTTACTGTGCTATCTGCTCTTCATGGATCAGAAGAAAAGAAGTAGTGGATGGCGTGAATGCATGTGAATGTCACCATTGGATGATCGGAAGTAATTAGCAGGAAACTGGGGGCCTAGGTTTCGTACCTATTGGTACTCATCAATAAGGCGTCTCTATAACACAGAAGGAACTGATGTCACCTACGAGATTAAAATCCACACTGCCGAGTACTCCAGTCAGAGACACTTCCACTAAGCTATTCAAATCAGCAATCAGGATTCTGTTACTGTCCTACAAGTCGATTTAGAAAGCAAAATTATTCTGCCAAACACAACTCGGATTGAAGGAAGCTTCAAAAATTAGAATTCATTGGTAAAATGTTCCGTCTCTTACAGGACTGCTTCTGATGTCTTCAGAATTCATATTTAGGAATCAAATGGTATAATCAGTCTTCAAATGACGTGTAATATAAGTGAAACGATAACTATTCAGAGCCAATGGGTGGTAATCATTAAAAAAATTTGCTCATTATCTTTTATACGAGTTTTAACAAGAAATTCTACGACTTCATCTTCACATGTGTTATTCATTTCCAATATTGACTTGGTTACACAATTTAACACTTCACAAAATGAAACTCTGCATCAGCATAATCGACAACAACAATAGCAATAATAATATTAAAAAATCAAGCAGGCTTTAGGCCAGGTAGAGGGTGCATAGATCATATCTCCACTCTCCGACAGATCCTAGAACATAGACACACTTTTAGGCGTCCAACAATTGCCATATTTCTTGACTTGAAGGCGGTCTTCGACTCCGTGGATCGAAAGGTACTATGGCAATGTTTGACTGTGAAGGGAGTGCCAGGAAAGTACATTGCACTAATCAAGGCACTCTACTCAAACTTACGTAGCCATGTAAGGGCTTCTGGGGAATTGTCATCTGAATTGATAACAACCAGTGGTGTCCGTCAAGGATGTCCACTTTCCCCTTTTCTGTTTAACTTCATCATAGATATGCTAATGGAAGTATCCTTAACTGAACTTAATGACTTAGGAATCGACTTGTTATCAGGGAATAGTCTTATGGACTTAGAATATGCAGATGACATAGTCCTGTTAAGGGAGGATGCTGAAAAAAATGCAGAGTCTTCTGAACACCTTGAGAAGCAATCTTCGTATGTTCGCCATGCGATTCGCCCCTGTAAAATGTAAATTGCTGCTACAGGACTGGACCACGTCAACTCCTAGCTTAGTGATAGGGAGTGAAGTGATAGAACATGTTGACCACTTCACCTATTCGAGAAGTTGTATCAGCACCAACGGATTGATTGGTGACGAAATCTCAGCACGGATCCAAAAAGCTCGAGCTGCTTTCGCTAACTTACACCATCTCTGGCGTAGGCGTGACATCCGGCTATCAACCAAGGGACGTGTGTACTTCTCAGCAGTTCCCTCCGTCGTTCTCTATGGCTCTGAAACATGGCCAATACGAGTTGAAGACATGAAAAGGTTGACTGTATTTGATCAGAGATGTCTACGATCTCTTTCTCACGTTAGGTGGCATAATAAGGTAAGTAATGTTGACGTTGGGTGTAGAGTGTTGGGCTAAGAGGGAAAATCAATCGAAGAGGCTATAAAGTTACATAGATTGAGATGGCTAGGTCACGTGCTGCGCATGCCTAACCATCGCCTCCCCTGACGAACGGGCATCACTAGCTGATATAGGTGCAGGCTGGAAAAGAGTAAGTGGTGGCCAAACAAAAACATGGCATCAATCCATGAAATCCTTGAGAGTTAAACTGAGTCAGGTAGGGAGATGCAGACTTCCGGGTTGGGGCCCGCCCTCGGGACTCTAAGAATCAATGGCTGGAGACAATATGTGACATGGCTCAAAATCGTTGTCAATGGCTTACGCAGATGTATTCAGTCTCTGTAATCTTTCATATTCCTTTCTACCATTACTCATTCTATTTCACACTTATACTTGTCAAAACTCCATTGATTCTCTTCTCTCATTTTCTTGTCTACCTTTCTGTGCTATTTTGAACGTGGCAACTCGAACTGCTGCACTTCGGTGCCAAGTTCTATGTTGAATCCAGACCAGAGAGAGAGAATATTAAAAAAATGATTAAATCACTTGATGAAAAGCGGCAGGCAATTGGCCCTTTTGCGAAATGATTAATTCAATAATAATAATAATAATGATAACTCACCAATATCTAATCCATTGGTTATAATCCAAGCACCAGTTGTTTTAGCTGCTCTAAGTATACCTCTTTGAACAACTTGTTGTAATTTTGCTTGTAATGGCGCATTAGCCAATCCACCGACAATAGATATGACTAAATTAGGCACACGTATTCTCCATTCATGTAGTAATAAATGCAATATCAATTCAGGACATGTTTCATAATGCAATCGAACATACTGTAGAGAATATATTTACGCCCCCCCAAGAGATATACGATTTTCGGCATGAGATAAAGAAAAGATGTTAAATAAAATGATGTAAGAAATATCAGTTTAATGTAATAGTAGCATTTGGGTACTGTGATAGAATATGAATTCGTTATTTGATATGATAGAAAGTGTGTATTATACAGTGTTGATAACTGAATGACCTTCCGATAACAATTTATTGCTCATAATCATGTCTATATCAAAGTAGGATACCTTATTAGGCAAAAACTATATAAATCAAGTTAGGTGGTTGTGTGAATATAAGGATAAAACTTAGGCACTGTGGTAGAGTATAACTATGCCATTATGAATAAAATTTTATTTTAATAAAATCACTGTGTTATACAGTAATATTTACTGATGACCACATTCCGAGCGCGATTTATTGCTGCTCGTAATTATATCAAGCTACTCACACAACTTTCTAACCTCGTTTATGTGTATTCACTATTGCTTACCTCTTCATTTTATTGGTGATAATATCTTACATATCTCTGGTATTTGCGTTGAGTCACTTCTGTTGCATGTGTTGGGTGTAGACCAGGTGAACCAGGCAGGATTCAGCGATCAATCTCTCTCTCCACTTGCCTATATTACTTTTTAGAATTTTGACTCTGTCCCACCCTATAATGTTGTGTGTTAATGCATGCAGTGTTATAGCTGAATATTCTTTTCTAAAATACTTATCTTCGGTGACGTCTTCGGAGAAGTAATGATAACTAATGTGTCAATGGAAAAACTATTGAAAAATTTTTTAATTATGGGAAGGAACGGTTGAGCAACACGCAACAACAGTTTCTATAAACATTAGATCTGATCTCACCAGTCTTGTTCTTTTCATGGATAACAGATCAAATCTTTAATTTGATACAACAGTTACAGTTGATCAGTAGTTCTCAGGAAATGTTCAACTTTGATGTTATTTGATTTCTAATGTGCGTCGGTGGCACAGTGGTTAGGACTCTCGCCGACCATGCACATGGTCCGGGGTTCGATCCCCTGCCGGCGCACACCCGATATCTATGGTCGGCCTGAATTTGGGCTACCGATATCCATGCTGAAAATTCCACACTTGTACTGAAAATACGGTGTGGAATCAAGCTGTAAATCAAAATAAAAAAATAAATAAACTAGCGGTGGAATCGAAGATGCTCATTTTATCATATTTAGGAATCATTATCTAAATCCACCTTCATCTTAATGAGTAGCAGTGTAGTAGAAGCCTGGTGAATAACATTTCAGTGTTCAAAACAACAACTGCTGAGTATGCGTCTCAGATGAAATTTTAGTATTCACTCAGATGAAGGTTCATCTAGACAACGAGTTCAAATAAGATGAAATGTGCGTCCTGGATACCACGGCTAGGTGGCTGTTATCGAAAAATAACTTCAAGGAAAACTTAAGGCACTAAGTTAGAAAAATGTAACGAATTATTGCAGCTGTATACTGATGGGCTAAATTGACCTAAGTTATTAGAAATGAACAAAACACGCAGAATCATAATGAGTTAAGGCAAAATAAATTTAAACGGGGTTTCATAATTGGTGATGTAACTAAGCAAGACACCAAGGAAATAATGATCGGATCCAGTTTGTTCTGCTCCATCTGTTGTTTTTTCTACATTCCATTGCCACCAAGTAGACTATAAAGCTTCAGGCTTCAGCTTCGAATTTTCAATAGCAGTATTGTTATTTTGCGGGGCGAAGTTGTTAGTGATAGAGAAGATTTGTAGCTTCGCAAATTAACCATCCAGCTCAGAGAACACAACCACATCAAAAGAAGTTGTTAGTCTCACACCCAACCTTCGATCTTTACCGTGAATATTACCGATTAAGCGAAGCTAAGGACTGGGTTGATCCACCGGGAGTTAAACCTGGATGACGTGCGTGAGTGGTGAGTATTTTACCAGTGAACCAACGATAAACTTTGTTGTTATAACTTTGGTAAAATTTAGGACATATTGAATAAAAAGCTCATCTGTAATATTTCAGTCAGCGAATGTAATGAACTAGAAGGCGGTAAAATCAATTAGAAGAATAAATTTAAAAGAGAATGATTATATTTCCAGTGCATCGGTGACACAGCAGTAGAATACTGTCCGACCACGTATGTGGTTCAGGGTTCGATTCCTGGCCGATGCACTCCCTTACCTCGCTAAGCCAGTAATAAGACTGGTTAAGAGGGAAGGTAGGACATGAGACCAGCAACCCTATCCCGTAAAAATAAACACCACCGCTGCCGAAACTTCAAGCCCCTAGCTTGAAGCTCAATGTTCCACTGGGAACGTACAGGAAAAAAATATTTATTTTCAAGAATTATTTTTCGGGGATTTGATTACGGATTGATATTAGTTAGAAAACCAATGAGAACCAAGGAGTAGTACTGAACAGCTGTCCTGGGTTCGAATTTCAGTGGAAGCGTACTGCTGATGAGCTACAAAATAGGACAAAACAATTGTCCAGTACTTCATGGTTGTTAGTAGTTCTCTAACTGATATCAGTTTGTGGTCACACTTGAAACGAATGAATATATGTGCTTTTTTTAATTTGAAGTCATTTGGAGGTCACTGGTTTCAGGTTTCCCGTGATGCAGATTTATATTTCACCATCAGTTACCGCTTATTACATTTGTCAATTCATGGCTTTTTATGACAGTTACATCAAATATATTTATCTGAAATCACTCAAACAGCTTGGTACACTGAATGACCAGAAAAAATGATCAAAAACGTTATATACAGATGATAACAATAGAGGGGTATACAGAAATTACATTAGTCTTCATTTGTATGCCTTCATTTATTATCAAAAACGTCATATACAGATGGTAAAAATGAAGGGATATACAGAAATTACATTAGTCTTCATTTGTATGCCTTCATTTAGATTTTATCAAATATTTAGTATACTGGAATAGAAACAGATGCTTTCTAGTCGATAATACGAAGTATTAATGAACACTCTTCAAGAATTTTCATCACTTAGAGAACCACCGAGGAACAAGAAACGCTGGATGGAATTCTCGCCCTACTTTGGGACTATTCAGCAGTGTGCACCCATGACCCCACTAAGGACGGAACTAAGGACCTTCAAGTTATGAGGCTAGTCTGTTGACCATTCATCCACGGGTTTTGAATTCAGTGTGCTACGAATTCTCACTTATGTTAATTCTCCATGTAGCTCTACCACCAACCAGTGACCCTAGCGAGCATCCTCACTTCTGAAGAGACCCAAACTACGACAAAAGCAGCTATCCAGTGCTCAACGGTTTTCGACGATTTTGTAGCTGATACTGGTCGGTGACAAAGTCTATGCTGAAATTAATCTAAATCGCTAGAACACTCAGAATGTGTATATTTGAAGCATTTCCGAAGATAAAGACTGTATATAAAACACCGTGGTCGTATCGGTAACTTCTGAGCTTCGACTTCAACTATGTACGAAAAGAATGGATTCTCAAATTCTAGTCTACATTCAACCTCGCCTAAATTACTAGGTCACTAGTTTTCTAGCCGGTCCCAAGCCCGGATAAAGAGGGAGGGTTGGGGCGTGGTGCTAGCAACTTCAACCCCAAAACTTAACCAAACTGCTACAAAAACTTCAACGCACAAATATATTAAAAATTCTGAAAATATAAACAATAACCTTATTTTTCGCTGGAATCGGGGAAGTGAAATGACACAGGCTGGTAAAAGCTTTCAGGAAGCCAGTCAGCCGGTGTGCCTTCTTTCGATGAAAGCAAAAATAAGGATGGAGACGTGGAATATTCGTACAATGTACGTAACTGGAAAGGCTGCTCAGGTAGCCGCAAAAATGAAGAAAAATATAAAATAGAAGTGTTGGGAATCTGCGAGAGCAGATAGAACGGATGTTGAAGGAGCCAACTACCAACTGGAGAGACAATAATCTACTCCGGTCACCCAGAGGACGATCATGAGCACACCGAGGGAGTAGCCATCATGATGTCAACAACAGCAGCTAAAGCTCTCATGCAGTGGGAACCAATCTCCTCCAGAAGGAGGATTTCTACAGACAACTACAAACAGTAATGGACAACGTCCCAAATGGCGATATCAAAGTCCTGATGGGTGATATAAATGCGAAACTGGGAGGAGACAATACAGGAAGAGAACTCACCATGGGTCACGAGGCCCTCAGTGAAATGAACGAAAATGGTGAACTCTTCCCAGACTTCTGCACCTTCAATGATTTGGTGATTAGTGGCAGTGTGTTCAAACACAAGGATATGCACAAGGCGACGTGGATTTCACCAGATGGACACACCAAAAACCAGATAGACTTCATTTCAATCTCAAGGAAGTGGAGAGGGAGTGCAGTTGACGCCCTATGTTCCACTAGGAACCCAAGGGATTAATAATAATACATTAAATTCACTCCAGTCATTGAAAGATTTGTCCATTTTTATGTGAATGAGTGTACTGACTGTTATCCATCCATTCACTATCTCATTCTGTTTTCTATCCACTCAGGTGATAGGATACATTGCAAAAGAATAAGCCAAATCAGGAAAGCAATGGCTGGCTAGTTACCAATTAAATTATATGAGTTATTCTGAGTTTTTCATTGTACAAACCGATTTCATCATTGTAAGAGGATGATAATTGGCCACTTTGAATCGGGGAGTTTTGTCTCATGAACTCCAAGGTAAAACAGCCGACTTTATAACTCATTTTCATGACAGCTAACAAAACCTTTAACGACTGAACTATATATCATTTGAAGTAGACGACTAAGACAATGAAACTAAGAGGCTACTGTTTTGTTTTTCAGCCATAATCATCCACATTTCACAATGTACGATTATTCCTTAGGCAAGAAGTCTTCTTTTTGTTTCATCCATTCTCTTCCAATCATATCACCATGTAACTATAGTGAAATTGAATTCTCTTTTAAAGTCAGCAAAAGTACAACTAATGCTAGTCAATATTTATACCTTTACACACATTG